TTAACATTTTATAAATGAAACTATGATAGTTTTATTTTCATTTTCAATTTTACTTCAGAGGCTCTCGAGCTGCAGTTTGCTGACCCCTGGCGGCTCTTCTGTCTCAAAAGTTTGCCAACCTCTGCTCTAAAGGTTTAGCAATTTTGTCAATCTTCTCAAAATACCACCTGTGATTTTACTGATTTTCTCCATTGTTTTTCTCATCTCTACTTCATTGATTTCTGCTCTGATATCAATTATTTCATTTCTTCTGCTTACTTTGAGATCAGTCTGCTTTGATGTTTCCAGTTTTAAGGCAGAAGCAAATGTCATTGGTTTAAGACTTTTTTCTTTTCTAATACAGGTTTTTAATGCTATACATCTTCCCCTAAGTACTGCTTTAACAGCATTCCACAAATTTAATTATGTGTTTTTATTTTTATTCACTTCAAAATATTTTTCAATTTCCCTTCTTAACAAATTATTTGACCCACAGGTTATTTGGATGTTTGCTATTAAGTTTCTGAATATCTGGGGCTTCCCCAGAAATTTTTTAAATTAATTCATTTCTAATTTAATTTCATCGTGGTCAGAAATTTAATTCCAGTGTTTGATTTTATCCTTTAAATTTACTGAGACCTGTTTTACAGAATATTATCTACTTTGGTGTTTCATGTGTACTTGAAAAAATGTGCATTTTGCTTTGTTAGATGAAAAGTTTTACAAATGTCAAGTCAGTCAAGTTGGCAGTGTTATTCAAATCTTTTGCATCATCATTGTTTTTTGGCCTATTTCTATTAATTATTAAGAGAGAAATTCTGAAATATCTGACTACAACTGCAGATTTCTAAATTTCTCCTTGCAGTGTGAAGTTTTTGCTCCATATATTTTAAAGCTCTTTCATTAAGTTAAGAAACAGGATTGTTATGAATGCTTGATTAATTAACCACCTTACAGTATATAATAAGTCTTTATTCCTTCTAATATTGTTTGCCCTCAAATCTATTTGGTCTGATATTATACTCCAGGTATATTATTATTATTTTTATTATTGTTATTATTAACATGATACATCTTTACCCACCCTTTTACATTTACCCTACTTGTGTGTATATTCTAAGTTTATTTCTTTTATGCAGCATATGTAGTTGGGTCTTCCTTTTTAAAAAAAATGAAATTAGAGATTCTCTGTCTTTTAAATAAGATAGTACAACCATTTACATTTAATGTGAGAACCAATATAATTACGTTTGAATCTATCCTCTTTCGACTTGCTTCCTAATGGTCCTATCTCTTCTTTGTTCTCCTTTTCCTCTTTTCTGCTTATTTTGAGATTGAACAAATATTTTTGCAAAATTCTATTTTAACACTTGTGTTGGCTTATTAGCTGTGACTCATTATTATTTTAATGATTGCTTGAAAGTTTGTAGTATACTTCTTTAACTTAACATAGTCTACCAACATATGGTATGAAAGCACTTCATATACACCCATATTGCATGCTAATCTGTTTTAAAAAATTATTTTAAAGAGATTTACATCAGAAATAAATTTACCTCTGTAGTTATCATTTCCTTTGCTCTTCTTTTCTTTGTGTACTTCATATTTTCATCTGGTATCATTTTATTTTAACCTGAAAGTCTTCCTTCAACACCTCAAGTATTGTAAGTCTGTTGGTCGAATATTATTTGCATTTTTTATGTCTAAAATTATTTCTCCTTCATTTTTGACAGATATTCTGTTTTGGTATAGAATTATAGGTTGACATTTTTTTCAGTATTTTAAAAATATTGTTCGACTATCTTCTTATCTGTATTGACATATCTTCAAAGTCACTGACTTTCCTTAGTCTTCTCCAGTCCACCAATGAGCCTAAGATTGGGACTCTTCATATGTGTTATAGTATTTGGTGTTGTTGCTTTCTAGAATTTACTTTTGTTTTTCTTTGAGTTTCCATTTCTCTGCTTATATTATCTATCTTTTCTTTCATGTTGTCCACTTTTTCCATTAGCGCCTTTAGCATATTAATCATACTTATTTTATATTCCCAGTCTTATCATTCCAAAATCTCTGCCCGGCCATATCTGAGTCTGGTTCTGATGCTTGCTTTGTCTTTTTGGTTTGTATTCTTCTTATCTCTTAGAATGCCTTGTAAAGTTTTTGTTGAAAGCCAGACATTATGTATCAGGTAATAAGAACTAAGAATAAATAGGTCTTTGTTGTGAGGTTTTATGTTTATCAGTCTAGGAGTTAGCTTGTGTTTAAAATTTGTTGTAATCATAGGTGTCAGAGGCCTCAGTTTTCTGGGCTATCCTCATTTTGACTTCCCTTTTGTCTTTGGGTTTCCCTAGAAACTCTTTATTAAATATAGTGTGTTTTGCAGCTCTTTCAGTTGTAATTATCTCTCATTATACTAGAGATATGTTGATGTGATGGTATTGTAGAGAGGAAGCATTCTATAATCTTGTGATTAAATCTTAGACATTACAAGGCTTTTTAGTGGGCTTGAGTTTCTAGGCTGTGACCTTCATAAGTTTTACTTAGTTTTTTATTTTTCTTTCCCTTATGTGAGACAGGAAGGTTGGAGAAGGAATGACTGGTCTAATTGTCCCCCCTTCTAAAGTTTGGTAAGGGAAACTCTGGTAGTTTCCCTAGGAAGTGGGCTTTTGTTAGAGGGCAGACTTCTCTGGTGCATATTTCAAAATGATTACTCTCCTTCTCCCCCTGCCCAAAACACAAGAGTATTTTTCTCCCAACTTCAGTGTCAAAACCTGGTGGGGGCACCTAGATGTAAGAACCCTTAAAGTGGGGGGTTCCCCTAAGACTGGGCCCTCAGGAATTTTTAACTCTCAAGTTAGTTTAGGCTCCACATCCATAAATGATCAATTACAGTTTAATGTTTAGCTCCAATGGCTTCTGCTCCCAGTAAACTACAATTGTCCCTGTTTACCTATCTCTCCATTTTTTTTGTTTTTTTTTGTGGGGGTGGGGAGGCAGCAGTTTGCCCTGTGATCGCAAGTCTGATGAATCTAAGAGGTAATTTTTAATTTGTTCAACTCTTCTTGTCATGAGGACAGAAGTAATGACTTATAAGCTCTTTACATATTGAGTAAGAACTAGAAGTCCTACTCTTTACTGTTTTTCACAACCCTTACTAATATAAAAATCTTATATTAGGTTTTAGCTTGCAGACCATACAAAAATAGGTAGCAGTATAGATAAATGGATATATAGGTATAGATAGGTACACAGATATATCTAAACTATAGACATATCTAAACTATATACATACCTAACACACACACACACACACACACACACACACACACACACACACAGCTGACACTTGAACAATGCAGGGGGCAGGTGGTTAGGGGTACCAAGCGCCACACAGTTGAAAAATCTGCATATAATTTAACTTGGCCCTACGGACATATAGATCCCTAACTGTGGATGAAAAATAGTATTTTTACTATTTACTAAATATGTACTACTATTTTTCATCTGTGGTTGGGAATCTGCAGATGTGAAACCCAGGGACACGGAGGGCTGACTGTATATTTATTGAAAAAAATATACAGTCAATTAGACCCATGCAGTTCTAACCCATGTTGTTCAATATCTGGATTCCCTGTGCATCTATTCTCTCATCTGTCGTGTCTCAAAGTTTTTGACTGTGTCGTTGGCCTGCCTAGTAATTTCTTTTTTGTAATACAAGACCTTTGCCTAAGACACTTTACAGCACTGTATATTATCTTTCATTCAGTGTGCTGGGTCTCTCTCTCTCTCTCTCTGTTGCTGGGTAGAATACTGGATGGCCACATCAATCCAGATACAGACCAAGTTAACTCCTAGCTAGACTACAGTACTTTAGAAAGGCCTCATTCCTAGGTCTTAGCCTTACAGGTGTATTGAGAACAATGTGTTCACCACACCTCCTCTCCCCAGCACATTCTAAACCCCCTAGCATATTAATCTATTATGTAAAGAGCATCACAATACTGCTGAAAATTTTCTCTGCTTTTCACAAGATTTCTGTTTGATTTCAGCCTCTTAGCTTCCTAATTCAGTAAATGGATGGAGTGAAAACCCAGCAGGGCTGAATCGCCTGTCTATCTCTCTTCTCTCTGATATCCTGCCCTGACCCATGCTCTAATTTTGGTCTCTTTAGACTCATAGGTCTGTCAAAAATTTGTGGTGGTTTCCTGTCACCTTAGTAGATGCTTTCTGCCTACACCCTTTGCCCAAATTCTCATTTTCTTGCCAATATCCAGACTTAGCAAATATCCTCAGGGGGAAAAAACTGCAGATGGTTGCTTCTCCTCTCTAAGGTTTGCCTTTCCCAGGATTTTGGCTTTTAAATTCCTAATTGTCTAAGCAACCCTCTGATGCCTTTAAAAATCTTTTAAATTTTTATTCAACTTTTATAGTTATTCTCAGTGGGAGCATTGGTCTGCCATAAGTTACTCCATTGTAGTTACAAGTGGAAATCTTATTTTCTTTACTTGTTTTCCTTGCTCAGTCCTTTGGTTTCCAATTCCAATTAGGTTTCCCTGTATTTAACATCAACCTCTACCTCATTCTTTGAATTTTTGCATGTTTAGTTTAAAGGAGACATTACTCATGCATACTTTCAGATGTACTTCAGTTCCATTCTTTGATGTCTATAAGAAAGCAGACATATCAAGTCAGGAACAAAAAGTAAGACTGGCTTGTACAGACTGTACTGTCTCCATGTTGCTGGACACTTTAATACAGAATTTTACTTCTAGGTTCTGAATCATCTCAATGTGTTTTTTCTTTGGTACTTTGTGAATGCATAAGCACTCACATCATAGGCTATCATTATTATAACTTTGACGTTAATATGAAAGGTGAAACTATGCTTTATAGTTCTTTTACATGTTCAATAATTCCAAGGATGATAAACATATATAAGAGTTATTGGGTAAATAATTGTTAATTGAGAAATGCATTGTTGGGTTTGAATGTAAATATGTAGTACATAAAATTATACTTACCCGCCATAATCTTCATTGATCCCAGCAAATGGTATTGGATTACAATGTACAAAAATGATAAACAGAACCGGTATAAGCGATATAGCAGATGTAACTATTACAAATGTCATATGGCCTTTACAATACATATGTAACTTGGAAACAATGATGCCTCCCAGAAGCTGGCCAAGTGCCGCTCCTGGAATTAACACAAGTCCTAAAGAAAAAAGAAGGAAGAGAAAACACAGTTAAAAAATAATCAGCTAAAGATAGTACAGAAAATTCTTACATTGATGCAATCCCCTCTGCTCTAAACATATAGCAAACACAGATTTAAATTAAAGCAAACAAACAACAACAATAAAACAAAAAAACAGAGAGAAAACTTAGAGGTATGATAAATATCTTAACAAACCTGAGCCTTAACAGAAATACAAATTTGTGAGTGAGGCTGAAGCTATAGGCCTAATACTTGAGGACAGTGCTGGTGACATTTTGCTCCTATGTAGTAATGACATCTAAGATAAACCCCAAATGTAATCCATGCAAAATAGAAGATGACGGCTGTCTTATTGAGAGCCATTATTGAATAACTGCATGGATTTATGGTTTATGGCAAGCCCATAGTGACAAGAGTTCACAGAAATTCATTACTAAGAATAAACCAAGCCACCCATTACTTCTGTGAATGCATACGCAATATCAACAATCTCGACAATGTGGGACTCCAGAATAGCCATTATAAGATATAGTTTTCTTTTCAATGAAGCATAAAGCATTAGAGAGAGGTAAGCACAAGAAGGCAGAAAAGGAGGAGACGAAATATAGTTAGAAAATAATCAGATGAAGATAGCACAGTAAATTCATACAGTGATGTAATTTCCTCTTCACCAAATATATTGAAATGGTAATTTAAATAGGAAAATAGATGGAGAAATATAAAGCAAAAACAAACAAAAAATCCCATTAACACCAGATTAAATATATATCAGAATTGTCTGGTAAAGACTAGTAACTAAGAATTTTAGAATGTTCAAAAGATTAATGACAGTGTCACTTCAACAAAAATGAAGGACAAATAAAATAAAAAGAGAAAAGAATGAAAAATAAGAGCAGATGGATAAAAAAATAACAAATAAGAAACCTGGATATTTAAAATGTAATTTTTAAAATAAAAATTTAAATCCCAGGTGACAGTTGAAAGCTTAATTAATAAATTGGAAGAAAGTATTGTGTTATTCATTCATTATGTTTGACCCTCAAAATTCCTATTCCCACCTACTTGCCATATGACTAAGAAGAAGACCCTAGATTTATTCAGTTTGAACTTGACAACTGTAGATTTAAAAAACCAAGGACATCTGTAAGCAGAAAACTGAGAACCCACCCCGGGTAAGAAAATATTGACTGTCAGGCTTATTGGCCTGGCAATAAGAAAATACTGGACACTGGCAATTCAACAATTAAATAACTGGGCTCTTGAAAGACCACCCTAAAAGGAAACAAAACAGTTGAAAATTCAACTGCAATGCACAGAACTTCCAATCAACTTTTTATGTAAATATTTTATTGGTGTACAGAAAAGTACACAAATCACAATTGTACATACTGAAGAATTTTCAAAATCAGCATACCTATTATAATCATCACCATAGGCACGATGTTTGAAAACTTCACTCATGTTTTTGCATATAATGATGGATCATGTTCTCACTGCTGAATAACAATGTACACCGCATCGTTTGTTCACTGTGATGTTGTGAACTGTGCTGCTACTTGAAAAATGCATGTACATGTCCTTTTGTAAACATCTGCATTTCTGTTGGGCATATTCTTGAGAGAGGAACTTACGTTGGGTCTATGACTAGGATTGGAAAATCTAGGTTAGGAGATATGCATATATTCAGAACTTTATGATACTGCCAAACAGCTTTATAAAATGGTAAGCCAATTTACACTCTCACCAATAGCAGATTAAATATCAATTGCCCCACACCCATGCCAACATCTATCTCTGTTCATTTTAGCCATTCTGGTGAATGGGTATTTGCATTGTGGCATTTTTTTATCTTTATAGTTATGTGATTTATCTCCTATTTTAGAAATTTTTATGTTCTCTAAGGCCATGAAGATCTTTTCCTATGCCTTATTCTAAAAAGTTTTATTGTTTTACTATTCACATGTAAATCCCCAACCCATCTAGAATTTATATTTGTGTATGTAGTGAGGTAGAGGTTAAGACTTATCTTTTTTCATAAGGATATCTAATTGGCCTAATATCACTAATAGCTAACTCAATTTTTTGTTTTATATATTTTAAAGCTATGTTGTTGAGAGCATACACACATATAATTGTATTATCTCCCTCACTGGTTGACTCTTCTGACATTATGATCTCTCTTTATGCTATGTAATGCCTCTTGCTTTGAAGAATACTATATTTAACCACCTTTTGTTTTGCTTAGTATTTATACGCTACAACTGTTTTCTGTCCTTTTACTTTCAACCTTTTCATGTCCTCATATTTAAGGAGTTCCTCCTATAAGTAACATAGTGCATTTCCCCCCCAAATCTGACAATCTTTATATTTAGTTTACTACTCCATTTACTGGGCAATGATTCTCCATTATCTTACAATGCTGTATGTATTACCTGCCAGCAGAAGCACTGACTACTCCTTGTTCTATCTTTTCAAAGGTCTTTGTATAGTAAACAGCCTTGGATAATAGAGATAGTGTCCTTCTAGAGAGCAAGGGCAGGTTTGCTTACAGTTTTGGAAGACAGAGATATTGTCCCTTCTAGAATTAAGAGAAGACATGCTTGCTGTCGAGTATAATATAAACAACGTCTCAAAAACAAACAAACAAAAAAATGTCTCCCTCTGGATCAAAGGCAAGCCTGATCATTATCCATTATAAAAGATTTGGGTTCCCTAAGCTCAGGGAATATAATGCAATCCACCCCTGTAATGCAACCATTGTGTGTATAGATGTCACTGGCTCTCCTTCTCATCATCCTGTGGAAATTGGGGCCCAGAAAACAAGAGAGAGAGAGAGAG